GGGAGGGAAAGGGTATAGATCGAAGCGTTTTACATCATCCGGAATCGGCAAGATATTTTGAAGAGGAAAATACCTTAAGGGCAGTTGCTTTACACGCTGGGTGCCAAAAAGATTCATAGAGGAGGCAGCTATAAAAATAGGGAAAATTAAAAGAATTTTACTTCCCGATAGCAAATGTAGCATCACATATAGAGACTCTCTTGTTTTTAGAGTGACGCATCTTTTCACCCTTGCGACTTGCTTGCAATTTTTGCTTAATTCAGCTTTACTTCAATTAATCAGATCAAGCAGTTTAAAGGTCTTCATTTCTTTGAAATCTTTAAAACGTTTAAGGGTTGAGTTTTTCAAGCTTGCAATTTTTTTCTTTCATTTTAGAAACTACTTTTTTGGAAGAATTTCCTATAAATCTTAAATTATATTTTTTCCCAAAATATATCCAGCATTTTTTTATTATACGCAGCACATTTTCTTTCATCTTTAAAAGATTAAAAAACAAACATCTATAAGCATAAAGGGAATACTTTGAAGAAGTTTTACATTCTCTTAAACTGCTCCTGCTTATTAAAATAAAATATATTTTGCACGAATAAGCACAATTTCTGTTCTCGTAGATCAATTAATCATACAAAGAATGAAAAGAATAAATTTATCTCAATCTTTTGATCATTCCTTGAATTGGGCATTTTGAATATGAAATAGTGAATAAAACAAGAGGATAAAAAAATTAATACAAAATTTTTGGCTTCGATGTCACAAAGCGAACTTGAAAAAAACTGAAATCAAATTTTCAGTTATTTGGGAACACTTTGTTTCCCACATGGCATATTTAAAAAGCAGTCATAATGATTCGAACTACGGAACGCGATATATGAAGAAAACAATATTGGTTTTAAAATGATTAGACATCGTAAATCAACTTATAACCATTCAAATCAGGAAAAAAATAGGGTATACAAATATTCAATTTAAAATAGTAATTTAATTGTACGGCAAGTTACTACTTCAATTAATGAGTCGCCTGAAAGCGTGAATAGTTCATCTCAGTGAGACATCTCGTTGCACAAATAATTTATTTTAATAAACGAGAAATTTCCTCTGTCGATTAGAAATATCTGCAAAATACAACAGCAGTTCCCAAATTTAAAGAAATAGTTATTTTCCTTTGATTAGATTTTTCTGAAACGTTGGCGATTATTCGTGTAGCTGCAACTCCCAATTCTAAAAATTATGTACGGTTATTAGAATACCTGATGTACGGTTTTTATTATTGTTAATTATGTACGGTTATTAGAATATCTCATGCAGTTAGTGAACAAAAATCACCTGTGCGTATTCGAATAAATTATGAACTTTTTTTAAAAAAATAGGCTTACAAACATGCATAAAAGTAAGTAAAAGCATTAAGTCTTGATGCTGCTCTGTATATATATGTACTGTGGATAATATAATTAACATTATTAGATTATTATACGCAAATTGAACCTATACTTTTGTCAGAATTTACACAAGAAAAAATACGTCTGTAATTTTCTGTTAAGATTATTAAAATGTATATTAAAATATACGTTAAGGTAGTAGGAAAACTGTATATCGTTCTTCAGTCAACTATTACTCATCTATGTAATCTCTCTATTCAGATTATTCGAAAAGCTAAAAATTTGCTTGAGGAACCATTTAAGAAGAAAATTATATGCTTATTTTATGAATACGCTCAGATATGATTTCTCGACTTGATATTATAATATTATAAGCTAAATTTAAATAAATATATATGAACGAATTTATTTTAAAATTCCACATGAAAATAATTTGATTCAGTTTCTGAAGTACTTTGAAAGTTGTTGAATAAATCTTTTCTCATCAGTTCACATTCAGTCTATTTCTATAACATATATAATATGTATGATGTAGTATACTATACATTCCGGCCCACCAGCGGCCGAGCGGTAAAGCCGCTGAACACTCGTAGTTAGGTTCGAATCCTGCGAACGGGCTGGATGCATGGGTGTTTTCGTAGTTTTCCTCGTGTGTAACGTGTATGCCAGCCAGTTTCCCTTACAAATTCCTCCACTAAGGCATCACTCCCCTTAGGAAGATAGCCCTCGAGGCTTTGCCGTAATTAAATAACCTAACCTACTATAAATTCCACAATTTCTGAAACTTTATTGTAAAATTTATTTTTCTTATGCATATAAAGGAACTCTTTACTGCCTTCCTGTATCCATTCAAATAATGGTTTACAAGGTATTTTTTCTTTTCTAACCGAATACCACCATGGTCTAACTGGAAGCATACTCAAAGCGTATTCGTGAGATCTGGTGTTCGAACGCCGGCGAGAACAATGGAATCATTTCGGAAGGAATTACCAAGGAATAGAACTGAATTCGGTTTTACGAATTAAAATGCACCATTCGCATCGTATAATATTCGTTTTGCAGTCAAAATGTTTCGTATTCACGTGCAAAGGATCAGATTTTAAATGATATCTTTCATACATACCGATTTCTTCTGACTAACATACGCCCTATACCTTTATTCACTTCTTCACAATCTTTATCTGTGAACACGAAATATTAATACATTTTCATAAATTCAGATACACAACTATTTAGCGTTAAGTTCTGTTTAAATGCGTTTAATACAAATACTGCTTTTATTAAAGAACCATATTATGGAATTATAATTGTAATCACGAAAAAATTCATTATTTGGGATTTATCAGCTTATAATCCTTTCATGTCAACTTTATAAATTTTGGTAAGAATGGTTTCTGTTCGCAATGGCACGTCTTCATGAAATGCGTCAATCCATTTAAAACATTTTTCAGCCTCAAACACTAAATTTTTGTCAAGATGAGTCTTTATACTTTTTAATCAGTTCTTTGCATCAATTTGAATTTATCTGGCAACTTTTGATTTACTTATCTCCGATCTAAAATTCAATGAGTTTCTATTTTCTTAATTTCGCATTCAACATATAGTTTAAATTATGTAATATGTTTAACCTTAATATGTTAACCGTATTATGTAATTAGTAAAATAATTCTTTACAAATTAAAATTTATAATTTTACATGTTATAAAATTCAAAGTCTTAGCCATTAAAAAACTAAAAAATATTTTTTTGAGGTAACGCTTGTTTTCAATTACAAAAATGCAATGATTTTTTTTCCTTTTTGCTTCCTTGTATGAAGTATTGTAAACGCGAAAAAATTCGGGTATCATATTTCAACGAAAATATCCACTGACCGCTCTCGAATCCATTTGAACGATGTTTCTGCATGACATCTCTACGTACGGACAGCATAAAGGACCTCTTTTTCCCAAAACGCATTGTGAAATGGATTCAGAAGAGATTCATTTCGTGATATCTGTACGTAACTATGCATGTATAACTCAAAAACGAGTAGCTTCAGAACGTTAAAATTTAGTATATAGGACTGCTATAACGTGTAGTTGAGCACCTACCTGTTTGGCTATATATTGCTATAATATGAAGTGGTGCACCTCCTTGCCACACTAATAAATATGCATCCACTCTGTTACTCGGCTATCTGAGCTCAATTTTTTTTATTAGTAAATTGTGCATTTTTTGCTTTAATTCTTAATTATATTATTCTTATGTTCCGTTTAAAGATTTTATGCCTTTAGTTAATCTGCAAGCAATAGTTGTAGAATTATCTGCATGCAGTAGTTGTTAGCCGTATTTGATGTTTTAGGTTTTTCTGAATTTTACTATTTTTTATGAAGATGTTTTAAGTTTTTATGTAGTTTTGTCTTCCCGCGAAGTGAAAATTTAATTTTTTGAATGAGAAATATATCTGTAATGAAATTCGAGGAAATGAGTTTAAATGAAAATCAGCAAAAAATATGTATAATCTAATGGGCCGTCCAAGAAATCATAAATAAAAATATGTATAATCTAACGGGCCGTCATGTGGTGTCTATTTTTAACACAAATAGATCAATTTAAGTTATATAAAAGAAATTTGCTTAAGATCTTAAATCTTGATGTACATAGCTTTGAAACAGCTTTCAAAATTTTCAGCTCTTGAAATTCTAAACACTAGTACATTTCTGGTATTGACAAAAATAAGTCAAATTAAACTATTAATAAAGGAAACATATTTTTTGTTTTCTCTAAGGAAATTCATTCTCCCATCGTTAAAAATGAATCATGCTAAGATATGGGAAGAAATTGCGGTAAAGATATTGAAAGTATTTCATTGATTAAAATTCTAAATATGTCTAATATCTAATATATAATTCTAAATATATCGGTATTATTATCTAATAATCTGTTGTGCGAAAAAAATAACAAAGATGTTTTTGATATCTCTTCCTCGTAACGACATTATCATTCTACATCACATATGAAAGACATAAGGTACTTTCGATATCTCTGATATTGTAGAGACATTAGGTTTTTTGGAAGCAGAAGAGATGAAAAATGAGCAATGCCTTAGCAGAGACTCGAACCACGGACCTCTCGAATACGCGTCGAGCGTGCTGACCACTACACCACGAATGCATGCTAAGAAGGCTAGAGAAATACCTTATAACTTAATATATGGCTTGAAACAAAATATTCTAGTAACAATTTTTAATGGTTTACCTGTTAGTTAAAGTAGTTATCTCTTGTTATAGATTACAAATAAATTTTAAATTGCACGAAAAACTCTTTGAATTTAAATATTAATTTATTTTTTAATTAACTGTATTTGCACTTGTTTTTACATTTTCTTGTTTTTTTCTAAAATTCGAGAATGTTCTATACATACATTCCTTTAAAGATTATCACTTCATAAATATAGATATTATCTTTAAGTGCTTTCTTTCTCTCGCTTTATATACATATAATCGCTGCTAGAAAATTCTATTTTATTTAACACGTGTTATACACTCATCACTCAAAGATTAAATCTGTCGCTTTATTTCGAATCTTTTAGTTTGATATGTCGAACTGTGGAGTATTTATACCACCAAGAATAAATTTAACACATTTACAAGAAAATACCATTAAAATTTTATTGATGTACTTCATACTCATTCTAACTGTACAATACTGGAAGGTTTGCATGGACAGATTGATGCATAAACTCAAGACACTTAGCTTTGGAATTGCTATTAAAAAACATCTTTTTTTAAGTCTTTAGTTTCTTGATCTTTTGGTGCCTTTCGATGTTCTGTTAACTAAAATGTATTAGCTGTTTGTTCGGTGAAAAATATGTACACATCTGGTTTTCTTTTCGAACATCGAAAAATATCTCAGAATCGTTTTAATTCGGGCATATATAAAACCTATACATAAAGCAATTTTTTAGCATATACAGTATCAAGATGGGTTTGAAAATCTATAAAATTAACTGCGTTTCAGAAAGTTTTCCAATTTAAGGACTGATTCACAAACAACAGAAAATTTGGGAAACAGATATGTAACAAAAAAGTAGATTTCAGAACATTACGTTCCGACAAAAATGCTCTAGATTCTTTCTTCCGAATTTTAAGGAATATGAATGCATTTTTTCCCAAATAAGTACATTTTGTGAACTTTCAGACATGTTAATGAACTTTTTAAAGATAGATTTTTCTTATCCTTAAAACTCGCGCACAATATATGTACATTATATATCGACATGAAACTAATAAGTCTCGGTAAAAAATCTGTGCATTATATTGATTTTAGCTTTACCAGTTGACATATATGTGCAGATTACTGTACATCCATACGGCTTTAGGAATAAAAATCTGGAAGTTGAAAAAGAATCCGTGTCTGTGTAAAATACGTCACTCAAGGACATCTTCGCAGACCAGCGGCAAGATGTCCTGGTTTAAGACCTGAAGAGATCTGTAGTTTAATGATTCATAAGGCATATGAATCCATCCCTATAGTTCTGGACACTTTCAAAAAAGTTCATGAAACGAAGTTATATGCATGACAGCTTCGCCATTGTGAACAGAGTTCGGGTTCATACCATGGTGGTTCACGATTGGCGTCAGGGGATTGCTGCTGTCGAAGTCCATCGAGGCACCAGGTCCCACTTGTGTCGACAAGGACCCATCAGAAGCCACCCCTCCGCATGAATGTACAGGGCTGGGCTCGGAGTAAGAACTTGTAGCACCCGGGCTGCACAAACCTCCCCCCATGTGGCCGCCCTGATGCAACTGGGGGGTTGGGGGTTGGTCATTTGACATCATACCTGGTATCGAATCTTGTTGTTTCATGTTATTTCGCCGCCATTTAGCCCGAGCATTCTGAAACCAAACCTGAAACAAAATACAAGACAAATGAATTAAATATCAGAAATATCTTAAAATTTTGGCTGAAGTTTTCATTATTCAGCTTACTTTCTAAATATTAAAATACAGAAAGTAGGGAATTTATACATTTTTCGGGTTTGTGACATGAAATTTTGTGCAAATTGGCTCCATTAGGTTTTATCCCAAGTTTTTTTCATAATACATTTAAAAAAATTAGAATTCTTTTACAGAATGCCCCAGTATATGTCTACTAATATAGCAATCGAAAAAAATTACCTAGTAACAGAGATCTAATGCAGTGTCAACGATTATCATTTTGCTTACACATCCTTGTTAAAAATAATATAATGCGTAATCCATGTTACAGTAATGTTCCATTAATTATTTGTTTACATCTAATTATTATCATCATTTAACATTTTTCGAATTCGTTTGCCATTTCAAGTAAGCTCAGTTTCTCACATTAATCTCCGCGTACTAAATTCGATTACTCTTTGTTTAATTATTAAAAAGCTTGCGAGATAACGAGATGTAAATACGTTATGTGATTCACTTCTTTCACAGATGAATCATTCGTATCTCTACATGTAATCTGCAAATAAATAAAAATGATGTTTTGACAGGGTAGTTGGTTCAACTGGAAACTTTATCAGATTTAGGTTTGCCCTGAAATAGGAACTCGTGTAATAGCTAAAGTAGCCAATGTATGTTATTTCCATGTACAACAAAGTGGATCAGAGAATCTTTATTCTCGACATAATGACGATCAGTAGCTTTACATATATGTACCATTAAGGTAACAAAAATGGAGAAATAATGCAGTTTTCTTTCTGATTCTCTTTTCCCGCATACATAAAAAGAAAATATAATATGCGTACAGAAATTAAAACTGTTACGCAGATATTGGCTTAATCCCGAAGAAAGAATTCTTTCCTTCATGACGGTTATGAAATATACAAAGTTTAATCAACAAGTTTAAATTATGTCAGTGGCTAGTATTTTTTACGAGCAATTAATGTGATAATATAATATGTGGAATTTTGATTATAAAATTATGCTTACAAACTTAGTATTGATAAGTCTAGTTTATGCTGATAAAGAAATTAAGTACGGTAGTATTTCGTTTTACGTCATTAATCTGTTCCAGATCCATGTAATGAGTGATCCAGTCTTTAAGACCGCTGAATACTGGCAGTTCGACTTGGTGTGGGCTCGAGCCCAGGCGAAAGGGCTCGCTACATGATTGGTTTTTGTGTTTTTTAACGGGAATACGAACCAGTTTTTCTTCTTAAAACCACGAAGGCATCGAAGGCCATACGAAGGCATCCTTCCTCTCAGGCAGATAGCCGTTGCGTCTTTGCCATAGTCATATCATATATAACGCTTAATATAATTCTAAATCCCTGGACTTAAACGAATTTTTCCAATAGGAAATACAACGAATATAATTATTCCGCTTTTATAAAAATATTATTATAGCACAGTTTAATATTAAAATACCAATGCAGTGAGTGAAGTATAAACTCTGAATGAAATACTGCACATTGTAAATCTTTTTCTATTACACAGATCAAAAGCAATTTTCACTTTCTTGTACGAAGCTACGGACGTATTGTAATCGCGGAAAATTTCGAGTGTCAAATTTCAACGGAAATATCCAATTTTACTGTTCCCGAACCCATTTTGATGCTATTTTTACATGATTTCTGTATGTTCGGACAGAATAAAGGACTTTTTTTCCTCAAAACGAAAGATAAAATGGATTCAAATGAGATTTCTTCGTTACGACGGTACGTGCGTACGCATGTATAGCGATTAGCCGTAGAACGTTGAAATTTTGTACATGAGACTGCTGTAACATGTAGTTGTACAACTTCCTTTTATATTGCAATTGGCGGCACCAAACGTATATATATATATATATATATATATATATATGTAAGATATAACAAAGTATGATAGCTGTTTCAAAAAAATAATTGACGACCTCAAAATTAACATTCTAAATTTGGTAATCTGCCCCTAAATTCATCTCTTCTCACAGGTTCCAGACTTTTCTATCTTATGTAACGTTTTAATGCAGATGCCTCTCGTCCAATCAAATTAATTCTCAACCAAAACTGTGAACTGAAACTTCAGCCTTCTTGCTATGAAAGTACTCTAACCTTCTCCTTTTTCCGCTTTAGCTCTCCTGCTGGTAAGACGCTTTTCATCCATGCTGCTGCCGCTTACTTGCTTAAGATGACGTCGTACTTCAAAATGGGAATTATTCTATTCAAATATTATTGAGAAATATCTTGTCTGAAAAAGGATTATTTGATATGCATGGAAAAAATAAAGATTGTGATTTTTCAAAACATGTTGTGCTAAATTGCGTCATCATGCTTTCCACTCTGCCACCTTCAAGCCACTACGGTCTTCTCGGTCATCTACGCAGTATCGTAAGCTGTTGGGAGGTCCACTGCTTTCATCTACGCATTTTAAAATCATGATATATATATATATATATATATATGCATTCCCCTTTACCCGGCTTAAAAGACCTTACCGGCCTTTTTTATTTATTTATTTATTTTTTATTTTTTTATTTTTGCAATCCTTGGTCTTAGTCATATACTTTCAATTACAAAGGTGTTTTAAATGACGAAAAATGTTCATCATTTGACAATATGAGACATTTAAAAAATGTTAACTTTAAACAAATAACTGAACTTAACTTTTAACATGGTCTCCCGGTTCCTGTACCTATATTCAGGGAAGTTTTATTCTCGTTATGAAAAAATAAAAATAAAATTATAATTTTAATTTTTCATAACGAGAATAAAACGAGATTTCATAACGAGAAATTTGACTCCCGTACAACAAAAATTGACTGGGATATTTAATTTCAAAATTTGCAATCTCTGATGGTCATTTTCGAACTGCTTCGAGGGACCGGTTAATTAAGTTCAAGTTTAAATGAATTACAGCGAAAAATGTATATAATTTAATAGGCAAGACGTGTAGTATCCACATCAGATTTTTAGACATGTTCTAATGTCTCTAATCTTTGTTTTGTAATCAATTCATCCTCTTCGCAACGTAGCCTAACACAGTCGTAAATACAGTAGTCCTCAGTATACGGTATGCAATATCTAAGTCAAGGGTACGCATGTCGTCTTCATATTTTTCAACAAGCTCTTTCTTCACCTTCATGGTGATGTGATCTTAACCATCTTCGTCGCTCATAAGTTATTCCTATTAACTTTCTTCAGACTCGCTGTTAACGAATTTAGAAAACAATTACGCAAAAAAAGCACAAAATTCAGAGTTATAGCGCGGGAACAGTAGGAACAAGCGAACTGACGCTCATAAGCAGTCGTAGCATTGTCTCGAAAGAGACCTGGTATGAAAGAATATAAAACCGAAACAGCTAAACAAGGCTAGCCCCGTGTAGTCGTGGTTCATCGACTTCGAGTCGTATTCCAAACAAATATCCCATATGAAACAAGCAAACAAAAAAGAACTTTCACCTTCAAACGGAACGTATACCGAGATACTGCTATATAAAAGGAAACTAATTTTGGGTATTTATCGCCACTAATAGAGTTAAACTCATTCAAATAATCCCAATGTCTCTACAAGCATATATACTTACGTATGACGTCAACGAAAAATGTCCATTCTGCAGACCGTTTTGGAATAAAGAATCCTTTATTCTGTCCTTACGCACAGACGTCAAGCGAATGGATATTTCCGTTAAAGTATGATACCTGAAATTTTTCGCGATTACAATACTTCCTTTTATCATACAATGATCTATAGCACCGATACTGTATTTAATAACAGTCGAAATCAAACAATCTAAAGCATGTTTTCAGATATTTTACCTCATTAATATAAAAGCACATTTTCTGACATAAAAAGTGATGCTATTTTGAAACAGAAAACTAACTGACGTATAAAATCACTTTATAGAAAGAATCGTCAGATTAAATAGAGGTTGACTACAATTATACTATCCGCTAAATCAATGACCGCATCTTGACGTTGACAAGAAAATATGAGGAAAAAATACTGACTCCCTGCACATTTGGCACCTACATTTTTGATACGTAAAAATTACTATACGGATTTCATCAACGAGGACGCTAACTGTTTTTTACGTAAAATTCTTATTAAATTATCAGCTATGGTTAATGTATTTCAGAATATCTTTCAGAAAAGTTTTAAAATAAAAGATATTTTAAATGCAGTAGATTGAATAGAACAAGTTTTTACATAGGGAAAGAAATGTTTGCAATCTCACTAATAAAAAAGACGGAGCAGGATCAATAGAATAGCAGGATCAATAGAATTCATTGTTGAAAGGACTTAAATCATCTTTATTACCTTCAAACAGGGTAAAAGTATCGTCTACGTAGCGGAACCATGCCGGGAAGTTTAAAGTTTCAAACAATTTTCATTCATAATAATGCATGTAGATATCAGCCAGGATGGGACTGAGGGGGCTTCCCATGGCTAATCCCTCAGTTTGCTTGTAATATTTATTTTGGAAAACAAAATGTGTTTGTTTCAAACAGAGTTGAGTGAGAGAAATTAGCTCATCAATTTCGATGCAAGAGAAATGAAATTCGCGAAGTCTGGTTTCTAGACATCTTAATGCACCCTCCACTGGAACATTGGTGAATAATGATTTTACATCAAGAAATTTCTAGGAACCATTTGAGTAAATTTCTAGGAGAAATGTTTTTAACCTTTTTTACAAACTCTATTGAATTTTTTATGGTGTAAATGTTATTGTCTAATAGAGTTGAAAATCTAAAAACTTAATATTTAGCTAATGGATACGAGGCAGTACCTAAATTTGATACAATAGGGCGGAAAGGAATACCACTTTTATGAATTTTGGGAAGAGCATATAATCTGGCACAATTCGCAACAGATGGGATATGTTTTAAGTTGCTTAAAATGATTTGTGAAGATTTGATCGCAGTTTTTATTTTTGACAAGTCCGAAAGTGAAGG